TTTATGAGTAATATAATAGTCTGCTGTACACATTTACTTTACTAAAGAGTTTGACATTTGACTTGGTGAAACCTGCAGAAACAATTCTACACTCCATATTCTTCACATTCATTAGCCTTTTGTTTTCTATTAAATGAATGAATGAATGAATTAATGAATTAATGAATGGATTCGATGGAATTAGAAAACGGAAGAAAAGCAGAAAACATCTTGAGGTATTTATTTATTAAATAAAAGGTTTGTTTTTTCTACCAGAGATATTTATAGGCTTTAACAATGTATAAAGTAGTTTTATATAGGCTAGCATTTGGTTCAGATAAATCGTTTGCAACCACTTAGCCTACCTTAAATAAATAACGGAATACAATGAATTATTTTTGCAGTGATAGGTAATATAGAGGTAACACTTTAAAATAATAGTCAATTTTTTTACTTGTTCAAATTACTTATTAAAAATTAGCTGAAACAACTCAGTTCTTTAGATTGTATTTGCTACTGCTCGATTGTATTAAATCCACTTAATGGTTAATAGTTAACGCAATCGTAATGAATGAATGGTGTTTATTTTTATACTGAGGTAAAACAACAACAACTTTACAAACTTTCGAATACTGCTGTGTTTTTAAAACTATACCTATTATATATTATATTATATTATATTATAATACAGTACACCACAGTTTACTGTAGGAACCAAAGGATACGTGTTACAGTATTTCAGTTCACTATTTAAAACTACACATGGAACATTCACTGTAGTTTAATGTATGGTTATAGAAACGCTATAATATATATAATATATTCGTATTTTATGTGGGGATTTTAGAAACATTCTACTGCTATAGAAACATTCAATTACACGTTAGATTACCTGCTTGAAAAAATATATAGTGATTTATAGTAAATATTGTACTGTTTTTGAACCATACGTGCTTGAATTAATCTGCTGTGGCAATACACTCTATATCCTTCATATTCATTCACAGTATTTATTAGCCCTATGTTTTCTGTTGAATGAATGAATGAATAAAGAAATACATTTGATGGATTTAGAAAACGAAAGAGTTAAGGCAGAAAACTTCTTGTGTTTTTTTTATTATATATATATTTTTCTATCAGAGATATTTATTTAGGTTATAATAATATTTAAAATACTTGTAGCCCATATAAAATGTTTGCGACGACTTACCTTAAAAAGCAAAAGTAACACTTTAAAATAATGGTCAAATTTTCCTGCTTGTTCAAATCACTTATTTAAAAGGAGCTGAAAAACTTGAGATTGCATTTGCGACAACTCGATTGTTTTACGTTCAATCCACTTAATGCTTAGTTTATACATCGGTTTGTGTTGGGACAACATGAATGAATGAGTTGTGTGCATTTTTACAGTGGTGTACAATAACAACTAAACAAATTTCCCAATACTGTTGTGTTTTTTTACTTATTTATTTTTTTACAACTAGGCCTATTATCTAACACAGTTGGCTTTTTACAGTATATCAGTTCACTATTTAAAAGTATGCTGGAACATTCATTAATAGGCTATAACCTAATATACTTTAATGTATGGTTCAAAAACACTATAGTATATATTATGAATTACTATAGTATTTTTCCATGCTGGTATATTACAAACATTCCTTACGATATGGCGTATAAGCTTTCAAACCTGTTCTGACGCGCCTCGAGCAACTAAAGCACGTCTGAAGCGGCATTGAAACATATATAAACTCATTCAGAATAATTCAAACAAAAACAGAAAATATTTCTCTATCTATCTATCTATCTATCTATCTATCTATCTATCTATCTATCTATCTATCTATCTATCTATCTATCTATCTATCTATCTATCTATCTATCTATTATTGTCATTTGTAAGTCGCTGTG